TATTCTTGCAGTGCTGAGTGGTAACACTTCTAAAATAAGAGCAGAGGTATTTATATCAGGGCTATTACTATTACCATGTTCACTATATACAACAAGTGGAGTATGTGTATGGCATAGCTAACATATCAAATTTCCCAGAGCAGTTGTTGACCCCACTAAACAAAGAAATTTAAGTTCCTAAGGCAACACGCTGGAATGCTAGTCAGAGATCCGTAGCATCTATTATTTTTGGGTATTCTGCTTTCCTTAATACAAAAATCCCAAAGTTCTTAGACTGTTGTGTCTCACTGTCTTGCTAGAATAAGAAGAATTCAGCCACGTGTTGCTTTTCATACCAAATACAGAATCCTTCAGTGCCCTTCTCCCGTGTCACCAACGTACCTGCTTTCTCCAAGGCAACAAGATTCACTAAATCCATATTTGCACTCTGCAAGCACAATACAAAACAAACAGCCTACAAATTTTTGCAACTCTGGAAGAATACCAGAAAAAAAAGGTTAGTTAATGAAGAAATTTTCCAAGAAGGCAGGTACTTGTTTCAGCTACTAAAAACATATCCATGGAATACCCACTTTCTTGAGACCCATGAATTTTCAAATGCTATTGCATGTCTACATGCTTCTAAACTCAGTAGGCCCAGATGGCATTATCACTCTTCATTTGCAAAATATAAAAGAAAGATGTCTATATAACGTTCAGATAGTATGTGAAAAATCAATGTTTAGAATGATCTAATATTACTAAGATATTTATACTAAACCCCTATATTTTAGCAGAAACCTGAGCTACAGGGAAATTGAAGATATTATCATTACAAAAAAAAGTGGGAGTACCACTTTCGGCACTGTCATGCAAACTTCAGATACAGCAATTTATGAAAACTTCCATTCTCATAGAATATAACTGTGACTTATCCTTGTCTTCAAGTATGGCAGTAAATATATGGACCAGTTAAAAGTTTCCTAGAAAGTATATTCAGGCTTTTTTTTAACAATCATATGAGCAGGATTTTCAGAGAAGAGGTTGCTTCATTTTCGCCATTTAAAGAGAAAGAGTTATCCTGGTACCAAATCAGCAAAAGAGATTTTTACATAACTTTAAGCAAGTAACTGCTCTGAAATTAAAATCTACCCTGCAACCAGTGTTACTGTTGTATGAAGTCCAATGAACATACAAAGGAAGGAGTACATCATCTCAAGTGTTGAATGTGAAACTACAAAAAAAGTTCCTGCATAATTACATTTACAGTAATGTACACTTTTGTTGCTGCATTTTTTTACAGATTTCATTCTATAAGATATGGCAGAACTTTGTAATTCACTCTTCACAATTTCTTTTGCTTTTCCAGGTGCAACATGCATAGAAAGTTAGCAATATTGTAAGAGATGTCTTTACTGTATGTTTTATAACCTAAAAAAAAATAAATTACTCTTCTACTTATTACAGACACTGCAGTCTATCCCAACTGTATTAATGCAATCCAAATATCTGGCATAAATGTAGGTGTATTTTCTCTGCTCTCTAGGGATGCAAATTATAAATATTCATACATGTGGCTACTCTCACAAGTAGCTTTTCATTTCAAGTAATTCCATTGCAAAATTCGTTGTTGCTTCACTTCTTGTATTTTCTGTGTTGACAGTAGAAAGTTTTTAAAATAGAAAAGAAAAAAATTAGGCGGAAAAAGAATCTATTAAATCAATTTTTAACAAACAACAACTTATATTACAATCCACTAAATTCAAAGGATTTATGAGACCCTTAAGAACTTACAAATTACTGTTAAACAAAAATCCTTGCAGTGAGGGAAGAGATCACCCAGTTTGCATGTTTTCTTACCAAAGACTGTAGTTCTAGCAATAATTCTTTCATGTGTATTACTGTGGATTCTTTGCATTTGTTCTTCTTATCCTGAAGTACATATAAATGTTGTGCTTATATGAAGGTTTCAGTGGACCTTTTATGCAAGATAAATAGACAAATTACATTTCAGCCTGACCTGACATCCTCACACAGAAGGAAAACACTTCTTTTCTTATTTGTACCAAAGGCTCACTGGAATTTTTTCAAGTTTTAGAACAACATTAAACTTAACTAATCTCTGAAAGACAGGCACAGCTTTGAAGAAGTATCAAGGACTGCTCAAAAGTTTCAGAAGTTTTGTTCACCTGCTTTGGTGGAGCTGGAGAGGGGGTGTTAAGTCTACAAAAATGTTCATTACTTCAGAGATAAAATCTCTCCTGGAGCAGAGAAAGTTACCAATCAGAGAATACAACATTATCTTTCAGTAGCTCTTAGGTAAACATATCTCTTATTAATTTCCTTGTTACTTTACCCTGGCTATCAGCAACATGTAGTTCCTACCTATTTTGCCAGTATCTGTAGCATAATAATAAATAAAGACTGGGAAAGTTAGCAAGACAAAAGTGGGCTTTATACACAGTAACTCATAAACCAAAAGAATTTCTACTAGATTAATTATTTTCTAGTGTCTGAACAACAAATGCCATTGTCTTAAACTCCAAGTACAGCTTGATGCCTTAAGCCCCTAATGGTTTTTTATTTTTCTAATATTGGTAAGCCTTATAAGTTTTATAAGTAGGTTTTAAAAGCAGCAATTCCCCCCTTCTTTGTCCCTTGTCCCTTTCCCTTTAGCACCCTTGTTTACACATTCCTTAACCCTCTTACCCCATTCTATGCTCCCTATATCAATCCTACTCCTGAAACCAGTAGAAATGTTTAGTCTTTTGTCAAGGCAAGGCCTAGATTGTTGGCAGAATAGCATATCAGGGCCTAAACCACAGAATACGGTCAAGAATTAGGCAACTATGTACCCTTTGTGCTCTGAGGGAGACGAAGATGGGATGAACAGGGGGTCCCGAAAGCCCCCGGAATCAATTCTCAGGGGGTGGACCCAGGGTGGTCCAGAGTAAAGGCCACAGGGTGGACACATCTGGGATTGGATGGATGGTATTATAAAATGTAACATCTCAGGCACAGCCTGCCCGCGTCTTGTAACATCTTAGCCTTGGCAAAATAAACCCTTTCTTATCTCACCCCTAATTAAATGCTCTGGAGATTTTTTTTCAGCACCAAAATTCCACGGCAACAAGCTGGCTAGAAAACAAACCCTGTTGATAAGAACCAACAGAAAATAGGTATGGAAGTTTTAACACAATGCTAAATGGCAATTGTAGTTGGGTTTGACAAACACATCTTCTTGTCTTTGTTGTGTTCACTGGCCAGACTACAACTGCCAAAATCCACCAGCCCCATCTCACTGACCATAAGAATCCCAGGCTGAAGTCCATCTTACGAGACAGTAAGAGAGGTCTGAGAAACTGCTGAGCTAGCACTCTCCCCAGAGACAGAGACAAGAAGCCCGGATCTGAGTTGAGACTGCTGAACAGCAGCAAGGACATATGTTGACATTTCCCTGGAGCCTCAGGCACCTGCCACCTCAGAACTCACTCCTGTGAAACAGGACTGGATTCCTTCTACCCCAACAGTCACAAAAACCAATACTTCTTTCTATCTGCTAATGTTGCACATTTTTAATGCTATATCATGGAGTTGTCTTATCACTAGCGTGCCCAGAAGCTGATTTGAGAAAATAGCACTAAGATCGTATCTATCATTAAAGGAAATAATAAGACAAATTCTTAAGCTGATGAAAGTCAAAGAATATTTGAAAATAAATGCCAAAGCAGCCTATCATAGATCAAGAAAGAAACAAAACTCTACAGCCTAAACATGCATTTCAAATAAACCAGTTCACTCACAGTATATCTAATTCCAGCAACACAACTTCCAAGAAAATATGAGTACTGTCTCAAAGTGAAAGTGGACTGATACAAGACACATTCTTACTGAATAAGAATGTGCATATATAGTGTCTTCAATTGCCTAGATAAGATCCCCAAGGAGAAAAGAAACAAAGAAAGAAATCAATCAAATAAGTCATTCTGTGTATGTTACACTGGACAATTTCCAAGACTGTCTTTTCTTCTCTGCCTTTCTCCGCTTTGATGCACTCAAAAGGGCCAGTGATTGTAGCAAGATTTTCCAACTACCCTTGTAAGCAGTTCAGTTTCCATATCCTCCCCAGCACTACAACACAGTTGAGAGCACAAGCCAAGTAAGTGTTACTACAAGCTACAAGTACAATTAAGGGACTCCTTTAAAAAGCATGACCCTCAACACAATGAGGTGTGAGACAATTTAAACAGCTACTGTGGTAACAAAAAGCAAAAAAGACAAGATTATTATATCAGATAACAGGGGAACAGGGAAGGTAAAAATAATCCAATTTTACATATAAAACAAAACTAGAAAAATTATTTGGGCTTCATACAGAATATGCCAGAACAGATTAATATCTTCTCTTAGATTTGATGAGTTTCTGACCAAGCTTGCCTAGGTTTTCAGGTTGCAGAGAAAGATTCACTAAGGCGCCAGTCTGGTCACAAGCATAAGTATAGACCACAAAGACAATCCTAATCAATTCATCACAGCCATCGGTCTCCATCAAAATTCACCATCAGCTTGGCATAGCCCTACACTTCAAATTTGCGTTAGCGTTGTGCTGGACATCAGGACTCTTGTTAGAATATTGACTTTTAGCACATATTCCACTTTAGCCTCAGTCCTCTGAGGCCAAGCTTTGGCAAGATCATCCTGACTTCATTCAGATATCCTTCAGAAAACACCGACAGCACTTACTGCAGTTTCTTGGAATAGCCTGCATTTGTCCTGATCGCACCATACCTGCTTGTATAGTATAACACCTGTGAAACTACAGTCAATTTAAAATAGCAGGTCATAAGCTGAAAGCCATATCTTCAGACAAAGCAATAAAATTTTGTAAAGGAACATGAAAGAGATCAATTTTGACAATGACAAACAGTGTCTCACAACATCTGTAAGCAACAGAAGGTAAATTTAGATGATATCTACAAAATGTGGGGGAGACAAGGAAATTACGGCAGAAAAGCACTTACTTGATTTTACTGAAGACGATGTCAACATCTGTGGTTGTTACGTTCTTCCCATCTATCACATGACAGTCTTTACACAGCTTTGACCAGTTCTTCCCGTGCATTTCTTTTCCTGTGGCTCTCGTATCACCATGGACAGCAAATTTTCTGAAGGCCTCTTCCAGAGCACTTATTTCTCCTGCCGTAGCTCCCTCATGAGAGTTGGTTGAATCGGTGGATAAGCGTTTTGCTGGCTTGGTTGATTTGTCAGCCATTGTGCTACAAAGAGGAGGAGGGTAAACTCATTACATTAATTTGCACTAATTTACTTTCTGTCAATCTACATGCTACAGTCATGTCACAACGTATGCAAAATAAATGGTCTATAAAGTTAGCAAGAACTCACTGCCCTCTATCACCAAACATCAGTCTAAACATAGAACTAGGTAACTCTCTGCCCATGTAGAAAAAATTCTAGTATATTAAAAAAAAAAGATAGGGAAAGAACATTCCAAAATCGAGCACAAACCTAGTTTCACCATCATTGCATCAGCCAACAAGAGAACGTTTGCTTCCTTTTTTTTTTCTTAAATGGCAATCACCACAGTCACTCCACTGATTTGAATAAAAGTATGCCCTTTACATTGTAGGCATTATTATCAACTTGTCTTTCTGAAGGAAGAATAAACATCCCTTTATTTTCTGGACTGTGGCTTTTTTTTTTAACTGAAAAATTAAATATTTTGAAAGTGTAGCAAAAATATTAATGTTATATTACGTAAGGACTAACAAATAAGGCGGCCTCAGAAATGCTTAGGCAAGGCTCTCTTGTTAACAAAACCATTCAATTCTCAAGTTTAGGCACAAAGAACTGCAGCTGTGGAATTCATTTGGAAGGAACACATCCAGGAGCTCTGAGAAGGGATGGTATTACTGCAGAGAAGAACTTTCAGACTACCCTATGTACATGTAGGGTAGGTTTGTCTTTTAAATGAGACCTAAAACTGAGCAACAGAACACCAATGCTATTTTCAGGTGTCTTCATAAACAAACAAAAGAACCCTAACGTGCCAGAAGCAAGTCACAGAAACCTCTGCCTTCTGCCCATGCACTCTTCACTTGGCAGAAGTAGGAGGCACTGAAAAGTCTAGGCATAGGGTACACTGTCCGCATGTCCCAACAGTTGCACGCAGACTGTTGCCAGACTCGCATCTGTGGTGCTGCTACAAATTTTAACCCATAAAGAGGTGCTTCAGGTATCAGAAATTTGGCAAATATTAAATAAGTCCACCATACTTACTTAGGCCTTTCTTTTAAACTCCGAGCTGTACATGGGATGTGATTAACATATGCAGAGATTGGTATGTATTTCTAGTTAGGGTTTTATTTCTGCATCTGATAAAAAGTTCCTTTGGTTTATATACTATACATCAACACAAACACCTCAGCAATGGAAAGTTCTAAAATTCTACCTCTTCCAATACTGTTTAACCTGTCACTTGAACAACTACAGCATACCTTTCCTGCACCCTACAACAGAACTAACCATAGCTACTTGCTATGCAGCAGCTATTGTTAAGCTTTGTGATTAGAAAGAATCTTTTAATAAAAAATACACAAATGGACCTTTGTCCTTTACGCTAGAGCAAATGGAGCACGGTCAAAGCACTATTGCCCATTTTGAAAACATCCAAGTAAATGTTTAAAAACCTTGTTATATCTTAAGCCTGGGGATCTTTCTGGGTTTTTTACACTGTCAGTGTGAGTTTTGGCCAACAAACCAAAATGTTAAATTAAAATTAATGCAACAGGAATTTACTAACTGTAGCCTGAGAATTATATGTGCACCTATGAAATAAAAAGAAAAGCACGAAGGGGGGAAAACCAGTTTGAAAATGTCAAGTTAATTAAAAAGTTAAAAAAGTAACCAATTCCCATTTCTATTTCTTTTGCACCCTGCCTACTCTCCAAAGAACAGCAATTTTACCTCAAAAAACTTATCTGAAAGCATCCCAATACAGAAACTTGAAAACAAAAAGCATGCACAGTAAATTGTAAGTTACTACAAATATTACAGGTGGATATACTTTTACCGAAGTCGAGTCTAGACTAAACAGTTTCATCAGACTATACACATTCATTTGCTACCAAAAAAGTAGGGAGAGAATGAAAGAAGAAAACAAAAACATCGCTGGCACAATCTATACAAAATAGTATTTCATCAAAAATCATGAAGTACATGATGTACTTTTGTCTTCAAGGAAGACTGACTTCCAAAAGCAGAAGGTTCTTCCAAGTTTGTGCCATTTCAAATCAACTGGATCTGGAAAACAGAGTCAGAAATTTTCCCAGCTAACACTAACGGTCTAGAGAAAGAAAGAGAGTACAGAACAGCAAAAAGCTAAGTGTGTATAGGATACTAAAAACATAAGTTTCCACCGTACACAAGTAACAGGACAGAAGAAGGTGGAGATTTGCCATAATAACATATGTACAGCTCGTGTTATTTGGTAATTTTATCTTGTGCCAAATAAATCAAGAGATTTTCAGGGATAGCTCCCTCTTGCTCTTAGCAATTCTCTCAAGAAGCTATACTCAGTGAGAATATCTTTGAAAGGTACAACAATTGCACAGTTTACAAGCTATAAACAAGAAAATATCTGTGCCACTCTGTCTCATCTGAAATTAGAAAAAATAACCATGTGCCTACATTTTTAAGTATCTCCTGAACAAAATCTTTCTTTAGCCACCATCGGGTCTTTCTGGCCAATTTTGCTTAGTGCCATGTTGCCTAGAACCATAACTCAACTTTGCACAACACAGTAGAATCATGTTTTAAAAAGCAAGTAGTGATTTCAAATCATAAGCAAAAAAATTATGGTTTTCTGAATTGTGTGATTTTTAAAATGATACTACTTTTTGTCCATACTACTGTCTTGTACAGTTTTTTATATGATAGCTATATCAATCAAAAATATTTTTTACTTACTTTTGGTAGCTAATAAGCATGTATCTTTTACAGGAAAAATGCTTAAAGGAACATATTTCACGCTGAGAAAGACAGTTCACTTCCAGACTTAGTTCTCCCACACATCAATAAATAAACTTTGTATTGGGGTGTTTTGAGCAGTTCTGGATTAGGGGGAACAGACACACTCTACAGAAAAGGCTTCAGTTTTGAATGGTGAAACCTGCTATGCAACGCAGACTCATTTCAAAGAAATCCTCCCCATCTAAAGCAGAAGGTCAAGGATAGATTAAAACCAGGGTTCTGTTGTGGTTGCCAAAATTTATCATGGGTATTCCTTACCTTGTTGAATCATAATTACAGTTTACTTCTTAAAATCCCACATAATGGCATGAAATTTACTAAAATGAAGCTACCTGGATTTATGAAAATACTGACCTCCTCTTGGCTTAAACTTTTCCTTCTTAACACCACAAACAACACACTCTGAAGGGAAACATATTCATTAACATTCTATAATTAGAAGGTAAAGAATTGCACAACACAGGATATGAAATCAGACTTTTAATGGAGGCAGCTCCTTCAACTTTATTAAGTGATTAGAGACAAGGAAGGACATCATGCCATATTGGAGAAATGATCTCTCCAATAGAAATACATAATAACTTGTTTGACAAAAATTCAAGATCAAATGCCATTTTGAGTCTTCTTTACCCTTTTTTCCTGGATAAAGGGATCAAAAGGCGCTTGCTAGATTCTGCTAGAAGTAAAGATTAGCAGTAATTTGCTGCACAGCCACAGCAAGATGATAGTGATAAAAGAAAGTGACTACTCCAAAATACCAATTCTAAAATTCACTAAAACAAAATTAAGCCGCTGTTCAGAAGCGTGAGCTGTGTAGATGCCAACTACAACAACTACAGCTAACCAAAAATGCCTTTCATCACCGTCCAAAAAGTCTAATATGTACACAATTAGATAATACTAATTTCCAAAGCCAGCAGAAGGAAGAAAGGTGAGACTAGCCACCGATCCTGTCCTTTCCAAATACTGCTGGCTCTAACCTAGCAGGTCCACATCACCAAAAGCAGCCCTATAAGAAAGGGGTATAAGCAAATGCTAGAGTTCAGCAGGTTTGTGAAAAGAACAACTGTCCCAAAAAAACCCTGGAGTTTCAGAAACCCACAGAATACTTAGACAATTAGGTGATGTGTTATGAACTGCTATAGCCTGTGTCATGCAGTACTCCTTTAGTACCATGAAAAAACAGTTCTTGTCCCTCCCCTCACTCTGCAGTAGGTAAATAATACAGCACATTATACAGAGATTAAGCCAGGGATCAAACTAACTGATGTTAGTCATTGATGTCATTACTAACTCATGCTAAAAGAGACTGAAAGTGCAGCTCTGTGTTCTCAGCACATGCCTAACCCATTAGAAAAAGTTTTCTAATTTCATCAAACTGCCTTTCAGCCAGAGGCTACAATATGTATACTCCTCTGCAGATAGACAGCTGGGAAAACTCCACTAGATAGAGTCATGTATTAATCTGAATTCTTCCCAAAAAGGAGGGGACAAGAAGTTATTGTTCCTGTGAATTGCAGTTATCGATTTTCTATAGCTGTGAGAATATCAGGTACATATAAATGGGCCCAAAGCCAACTGTAAACTCTACTGAAAGACTGCATTAATTTACACTCTTTTGCTTATCCATATCCTCTCCAGGTGTCAACATACTGCAGGAATTCTGGTATAGCTTTGATTTAGATTTGTGGGAATTGCTCTTAAAAGAATCCATCTATCAGCACCAACAAGGATGATCTGAAGACTTAGTAGAACCTACAGTATTTTTCCCAACAATTTCAGCTCATGCAACTCTATGAATATGCATGTATCCTACCTGGTCAGAATTCACCATGGTACCTTTTCTGCCCTGTCCCCAAGAACTCATTCATGGCTTATCCACTCAGGAGTTGCAGACAATTCAATATTTGTCAGAGAAGTGAGCATCACTGCCATGCCACAGAGAAACCAAAGCAGAGGGATGAAGAAAAATCTGTTTTGCTGCCAGAGTTCAGAACGTAATGAGGATCCTGGGACCCATACTCTACACTGCTTTAATTATTGAAGCCACAGAAAGCAGGTACAGCAGTGTAAGGAGTGCTCTAAAGAGCCAGCATTCCTCTGACTCTATAAAGGAAATACAAATATAGTTTCACTAGCTGCAAATCTATTAAACCAGTTTAGGATCTCCATACCAGAAGATGTTTTTCTAAAAAAAAATAAAAATAAAAGGATATAAAAATCTGAA